TTTTACAGGACCAAAGGGAATAGAAAGATCTTGGAAGAAATGAAAAAGGAAATGCCACAAAATTAAACCTCTCCCTCAGAATAATAAAAACGTCCCATTTCCTCTGACAGCTAACATTTCCAGCTAACAAAGCTGACCAAAGAGCCTCTCTGGTCTAACAAGACATTTATTGAAAGTGACTGCAGAATTGCTCATTACAACTCTGATTACTTTCTACTTTTCATTTTGAGCAGCAAAACAAAGAATTGTGTGTATATATATATAACTGCTTCACATGAGTTATCACCAGAGCTGGAAATAACTCACTTCTCTCAACTGTCTTCCCTGTTTGAATGTGAAATTGTTTGTATTGTTTGTCACATAATTATTTAAAGCAAGCCATGAAAAGAAATAAACACTTTTCCAAACAAAAGGTAATTGTCTTATTCCAACAGGATCAAGTAACAACTCTGCCTTAACTGGATTGAGCTTCAGATAAAAATAGACTGCCTTCCAAATTAGAAATGATTTCAAAAAATAGATACAAATTATTTGTGCCTGAAGAAATTGAGCAATACAAAAAACACATTAAAAAGACAGTATCTTGTGTAATTGATACGATGCAGGACATAAAACCATTTTATCTTAATTTTCTGGTTTTAGGTTGGTAAGTGTACAGTAATTCTAAAAATGGAGCTCTTAAACTGAAAACTTTCACTATTTAAAGAGCTGTAATTAGCACAGATTGCTGCCACAATATTGTCGAATTTCACTGTCAGAAATTTGGATGGTGATGAAGAGAGCCTGGCAGTGGTTTAGAGACCCTGCAGCTCTGTATCCTCAGTGGACTTTGCTCAGAGTCTGCCCCAAAGAGCTGGAAGATTTCTGAAGGGACGCCATGTGATTTTCTGAGCAAATGCAACTGTCAGCACAGCACAGAATATCAGTGTGCTAAAGCTCTCCCAAGTATCTACCACTAATGCCAGGATGCCCTGCAAATTAACTCCCCAGATGAACAGATTCTCTTTTATAAGGTGCTTCAACATATGGCAAAAAAGGCCCCTAAAAAGCCATAAAATTTAATGCCTTAAAAATTTATGCAATGATGATGTGGCTGCAGAACATGAAACCCGTGCAAAAGGGGACACTGTTTTAGTAGGCTGAAGTTTAGATCAATGGATTCTCATAAGGAAATCCTTATGGGAAAAACAAACAAACAGAAAAAAACCCCAAGTGTTTAGTGAGAGATTTTTACAGTCTTCCACAAATTCTCTCACTTGGAAGGATGAAAAAAATTAAATCAGCACAAAAAGGCCTCTGCACTTCAATCAAACGTTATTACAAAGCCAGTTCTGAACCAAGCAAAGGCTGCAAGTGGAAAGTGTTCACTTGGATAATTATCCCTTGCCCTGCCTCTCACAGATCAATAAAATACAAAACATTTCAGTCAAACTACTGAAGTCAGGGGTGCAGGAAGCAGGCTGGGGAGTGATTAGTTTGAAATGTCAAGCACTTGAATGGTTGCTGGTTTTCGGAGCTGGTTGACTGGAGGGTGGTGTCAGGATGCTCCTCTGCAGAAACACCAAAATAGGACTTTCTGCAACCTGCCCCATTTCCTGGCCCCGGGGCCATTTCAGGTGTCACTTCAGCTCTGCAGCATCAACTTCCTGCTTCTAAAATGGGGAAAGTGTCTGAGGGGAAGGGAAGCTGCTCAGCCGTTAGCTCAAAGTGGCAGAACAGCAGCAGGGTGAGCGTGAGCAAAAGAGGGGAGATTTCGGAGGAATTGATAAGAAAATCCCAGAATCACAGACTGGTTGGGTTGGAAGGGACCTCAAATCCCACCCAGTGCCCCCCTGCCATGGCAGGGACACCTTCCCTGTCCCAGGTGCTCCCAGCCCTGCCCAGCCTGGCCTTGGCACTGCCAGGGATCCAGGGGCACCCACAGCTGCTCTGGGCACCTGTGCCAGGGCCTCACCCTCTCAGGAACAATTCCCAATTCCCAATTCCCCATCCCTCTGGCAGTGGGAAGCTGTTCCCCCCAGTCCTGTCCCTCCAGGCCCTGTCCCAAGTCCCTCCCCAGCTCTCCTGGAGCCCCTTCAGGGGCTGGAAGGGGATCCAAAGTCTCCCTGAGCCTTCTCCTCTCCAGACTGGACACCCCCAGCTCTCCCAGCCTGGCTGAGAAATTAATCTCTTACCTGAAATATGCCCACAGAGAATAAAGGAGTGAAGCTTGGAGGATGGAAGGAATTAATATCGCTGCTCAACTGACGTTTTTGGGTTTTTGCTTTAAAGTACCGGTAAACTCAAAAAATTAACATATATCAAGTTCTAGACTCATCTGAACAGTCACACTACAGTAAATCTTTGCTGCATGTTTCTCTTTCAGATCCTCCTTTAAGGTTATCCTTCTCTGCCTCTGTGGGGCATGGAGTTGGCTGAAATTGAGTGTTCTAAAGGCCACGTCATTCTGCTCTGGAATACTTACTTCAAACAACATCACCTAAAATATGACTAACAGATGAACTGCACCTCTAAAGCCCTGCTTGTTTCACAAACGATGTCACTGAAATGAAGCTGAAAATGCAGTTTGAGGGAAAAATGAAAGCAACTGCTGGACTTGTAGGATTCTTGAAAATCCATGAGCCTGACAACTGCTGCAGAACGTTAAGAAACAAAGCAAGCACTAAGTGTAACACTTCTATGATGTAAGGAAGAGTAACAGTGCATTTTTAAACTACTGTGTGCAGACAACAGTGTATGACCTAGCAGAGAACTTGCAGTACGTAACTCTTCCACATTCCTACACAAGAAGAACAAACTGCTCATTTCCCCCTTTCCCAAAATAATTATGGCTCTATTTGCTCTGACTTAGTCCTTTCCATCCAGTAGAATTCTCAGGTCCTACATCAAAGTCCCTGTCAGCAGCTGGGGTGAGCAGAAAATGCAACAACGCACTCAGAGGGTGTTCAGGAGGTGAAGAGGTTGCAAAGTACCTTACAGACACCCTGGTTACTTTGCTGATTTGGGAAAAGCAGCGCAGGAAATACATTCTCACAAAATCATTTTGGTTGGGAAAGACCTTCAGGATCACCAAGCGACCCACCTGTGACTGACTGCCACCTTGTCAAAAAGACCAGAGCCCTAGGAGCCACCTCCGGTCCTTCCCTGACCAGGGATGGGAACTCCACCACCTCAAAGTTCTAGACTCATCTGAACAGTCACACTACAGTAAATCTTTGCTGCATGTTTCTCTTTCAGATCCTCCTTTAAGGTTATCCTTCTCTGCCTCTGTGGGGCATGGAGTTGGCTGAAATTGAGTGTTCTAAAGGCCACGTCATTCTGCTCTGGAATACTTACTTCAAACAACATCACCTAAAATACTGACTAACAGATGAACTGCACCTCTAAAGCCCTGCTTGTTTCACAAACGATGTCACTGAAATGAAGCTGAAAATGCAGTTTGAGGGAAAAATGAAAGCAACTGCTGGACTTGTAGGATTCTTGAAAATCCATGAGCCTGACAACTGCTGCAGAACGTTAAGAAACAAAGCAAGCACTAAGTGTAACACTTCTATGATGTAAGGAAGAGTAACAGTGCATTTTTAAACTACTGTGTGCAGACAACAGTGTATGACCTAGCAGAGAACTTGCAGTACGTAACTCTTCCACATTCCTACACAAGAAGAACAAACTGCTCATTTCCCCCTTTCCCAAAATAATTATGGCTCTATTTGCTCTGACTTAGTCCTTTCCATCCAGTAGAATTCTCAGGTCCTACATCAAAGTCCCTGTCAGCAGCTGGGGTGAGCAGAAAATGCAACAACGCACTCAGAGGGTGTTCAGGAGGTGAAGAGTACCTTACAGACACCCTGGTTACTTTGCTGATTTGGGAAAAGCAGCGCAGGAAATACATTCTCACAAAATCATTTTGGTTGGGAAAGACCTTCAGGATCACCAAGAGACCCACCTGTGACTGACTGCCACCTTGTCAACAAGACCAGAGCCCTAGGAGCCACCTCCGGTCCTTCCCTGACCAGGGATGGGAACTCCACCACCTCCCTGGGCAGCCCCTTCAATGTCTAATCGCCCTTTCTGTTCAGATGCTCCTCCCGATGTCCAACCTAAACCTGCCCTGGTTTAGGCTGAGACTGCCCATTTTCATGCACAGCAACCGGCCAAGACGCACCAGCTGCACCGAGGCAATGAGGGAATCGGAAGGCAATGAGGGAATCGGAAGGCAATGAGGGAATCGGAAGGCAAAGCGCTGCGCTGGTAAGGAACAGCTGATCCTTCAGCCGGGCGGCGGCGGCCCGGTGGTCTCGGGAGCCCGCCCGCCTCGAAGCGCTCGCAGGCCGGCACACCGGCACCAAGCGAGCTTGCCCGCCACTCCCCACCCAGTGCCTTCCCGGGGGCAGCGGCGCAGGCCCACAGCGGAGGGGCGGCCACCCCCTTCCTTTACCTTCTCCTCATCCGACACCCGCTCCTCCAGGTCCGCCATCTTGGCAGCTGTGTGCCCGGCCCCGCGCAGGGCATGCCGGGAGCGCCGGGCGGCGCACAGAACGCGCTGCTGGCGCCATCTTAGCTGCGGGCAGACGCCGCGTGGCCGCCATGGTAGAAACGGGTGCGTTCCCGCGGTATCGGCTGACAGAACCGCCGCCTCCCGGTCATTGTGTGGGATACGTTCGGGCGGAGCAGCGGTGATGGACTCGACGAACAGGCTGCCCACAGCAGCCCCGCCCTGGTCGTCCCGGCCCTGTCTCGCCGTGCCCCGTGGGCTGAGACGGCCGGGAAGTGTAAACCGGAAGCGCAGCTGCCGCCATCTTAGCTGCGGGCAGACGCCGTGCTGCCACCATCACAGGAGCGGGCAGGTTTTTCGCTGCCGGGAGCACGGCGGTGGCGGGACTGCCGCGTCCCGGAGCCTCCGGGCATCCCGGCTGTGCTGTGGGGGACGATCGGTCCGCGCATCGCCCTGGAGCAGCGGCGATGGGGCCGGTGAACGGGCTGCCCGCGCCGGCGGAGCCCCGCCCCGGTGCCTGTCCCGCCCCTGTCCCGGCGTGCCCCGGCGGCGGTGATGGCGGAGGGCAGCGGCGGCGCTGCGAGCGGCCGGGGGCCGCCGTGCCCTGGCGCGGCCGCGGCGTTCCGGCGCTGGGAGCAGCTGCGGCGGCGGGCTGCGACGCCCTGGGCCCGCGGGCTGCTGGCCGTGGCCGCCGGGCTCGGGCTCCTGTACGCGGTGCTGCGGGTGCCGGTGCGGCTCCGGGACGGCCTGGCGGCCGGTGAGGGCGGCAGGGGCGGACGGCGCGCCGGGGGGAGGCGGACCCTGCCTGTGGAGCCGGGCGTGCGGGCAGGGCAGGCTCGGCCCGGCCGTGCCGAGCTGCAGCCGGGCTGTAGCGGGAATCCCGCGGCGGTGATTGTCCCGCCGTGCTGCGCCCCTGCCGTGTCCGCGCGTGGGACCGTTCAGGAGGAGCGCTGAGGGGCTGGGCCCGTGCAGAGAAGGAGCAGGAGGGGCTGAGGGAGCTGGGAAGGGCTGGGGAATCCCGAGGGAGCTGGGAAGGGCTGGGGAATCCTGAGGGAGCTGGGAAGGGCTGGGGAATCCTGAGGGATCTGGGAAGGGCTGGAGAATCCCGAGCGAGCTGGGAAGGGCTGGGGAATCCTGAGGGAGCTGGGAAGGGCTGGGGTATCCCGAGCGAGCTGGGAAGGGCTGGAGAATCCCGAGGGAGCTGGGAAGGGCTGGAGAATCCTGAGGGAGCTGGGAAGGGCTGGGGAATCCTGAGGGAGCTGGGAAGAAGCTCAGCCTGCAGAAAAGGGGGCTCAGGGGGATCTTGTGGCTCTGCACAGCTCCTGCCAGGAGGGGACAGCCAGGGGGTCGGGCTCTGCTCCAGGGAACAGGACACGACCTCCAGCTGTGCCTGGGGAAGTTCGGGTTGGACATCAGGGGGAATTACTTCGTGAAAAGGGCGGTCAGGCTTTGGAATGGGCTGCCCAGGGAAGTGGTGGAGTGCCCACCCATCGTGGCACCCCGTGCTCTGGGCTTGTTGACAGGGTGGGGATTGGTCACAGGTTGGACTCGATAAGGTTGTTTCTAAACTAATTGATACTCTGATTCTGTGAGTCTGTCCCAGCCGTGCCTACGGGCAGGTGGTGCATCCCACCTTTGCTTGGTGACACACTGAGCTTGTCACCTGAGCCCGGGGTGAGGGACACGCTGCTGCTGTGTGCTCCCCGCCGGAGCCCTGCCCTGGCCGGAGCCCTGTCCCGGCCGGAGCCCTGTCCCGGCCGGAGCCCTGTCCCGGCCGGAGCCCTGTCCCGGCCGGAGCCCTGTCCCGGCCGGAGCCCTGTCCCGGCCGGAGCCCTGTCCCGGCCGGAGCCCTGCCCCGGCCGGAGCCCTGTCCCGGCCGGAGCCCTGCCCCGGCCGGAGCCCTGTCCCGGCCGGAGCCCTGCCCCGGCCGGAGCCCTGTCCCGGCCGGAGCCCTGCCCCGGCCGGAGCCCTGTCCCGGCCGGAGCCCTGCCCCGGCCGGAGCCCTGTCCCGGCCGGAGCCCTGCCCCGGCCGGAGCCCTGTCCCGGCCGGAGCCCTGCCCCGGCCGGAGCCCTGTCCCGGCCGGAGCCCTGCCCCGGCCGGAGCCCTGTCCCGGCCGGAGCCCTGCCCCGGCCGGAGCCCTGTCCCGGCCGGAGCCCTGCCCCGGCCGGAGCCCTGTCCCGGCCGGAGCCCTGCCCCGGCCGGAGCCCTGTCCCGGCCGGAGCCCTGCCCCGGCCGGAGCCCTGTCCCGGCCGGAGCCCTGCCCCGGCCGGAGCCCTGTCCCGGCCGGAGCCCTGCCCCGGCCGGAGCCCTGTCCCGGCCGGAGCCCTGCCCCGGCCGGAGCCCTGTCCCGGCCGGAGCCCTGCCCCGGCCGGAGCCCTGTCCCGGCCGGAGCCCTGCCCCGGCCGGAGCCCTGTCCCGGCCGGAGCCCTGCCCCGGCCGGAGCCCTGTCCCGGCCGGAGCCCTGCCCCGGCCGGAGCCCTGTCCCGGCCGGAGCCCTGCCCCGGCCGGAGCCCTGTCCCGGCCGGAGCCCTGCCCCGGCCGGAGCCCTGTCCCGGCCGGAGCCCTGCCCCGGCCGGAGCCCTGTCCCGGCCGGAGCCCTGCCCCGGCCGGAGCCCTGTCCCGGCCGGAGCCCTGCCCCGGCCGGAGCCCTGTCCCGGCCGGAGCCCTGCCCCGGCCGGAGCCCTGTCCCGGCCGGAGCCCTGCCCCGGCCGGAGCCCTGTCCCGGCCGGAGCCCTGCCCCGGCCGGAGCCCTGTCCCGGCCGGAGCCCTGCCCCGGCCGGAGCCCTGTCCCGGCCGGAGCCCTGCCCCGGCCGGAGCCCTGTCCCGGCCGGAGCCCTGCCCCGGCCGGAGCCCTGTCCCGGCCGGAGCCCTGCCCCGGCCGGAGCCCTGTCCCGGCCGGAGCCCTGCCCCGGCCGGAGCCCTGTCCCGGCCGGAGCCCTGCCCCGGCCGGAGCCCTGTCCCGGCCGGAGCCCTGCCCCGGCCGGAGCCCTGTCCCGGCCGGAGCCCTGCCCCGGCCGGAGCCCTGTCCCGGCCGGAGCCCTGCCCCGGCCGGAGCCCTGTCCCGGCCGGAGCCCTGCCCCGGCCGGAGCCCTGTCCCGGCCGGAGCCCTGCCCCGGCCGGAGCCCTGTCCCGGCCGGAGCCCTGCCCCGGCCGGAGCCCTGTCCCGGCCGGAGCCCTGCCCCGGCCGGAGCCCTGTCCCGGCCGGAGCCCTGCCCCGGCCGGAGCCCTGTCCCGGCCGGAGCCCTGCCCCGGCCGGAGCCCTGTCCCGGCCGGAGCCCTGCCCCGGCCGGAGCCCTGTCCCGGCCGGAGCCCTGCCCCGGCCGGAGCCCTGTCCCGGCCGGAGCCCTGCCCCGGCCGGAGCCCTGTCCCGGCCGGAGCCCTGCCCCGGCCGGAGCCCTGTCCCGGCCGGAGCCCTGCCCCGGCCGGAGCCCTGTCCCGGCCGGAGCCCTGCCCCGGCCGGAGCCCTGTCCCGGCCGGAGCCCTGCCCCGGCCGGAGCCCTGTCCCGGCCGGAGCCCTGCCCCGGCCGGAGCCCTGTCCCGGCCGGAGCCCTGCCCCGGCCGGAGCCCTGTCCCGGCCGGAGCCCTGCCCCGGCCGGAGCCCTGTCCCGGCCGGAGCCCTGCCCCGGCCGGAGCCCTGTCCCGGCCGGAGCCCTGCCCCGGCCGGAGCCCTGTCCCCTGGGGAATCCCGAGGGAGCTGGGAAGGGCTGGAGAATCCCGAGGGAGCTGGGAAGGGCTGGAGAATCCCGAGGGAGCTGGGAAGGGCTGGAGAATCCCGAGGGAGCTGGGAAGGGCTGGGGAATCCCGAGGGAGCTGGGAAGGGCTGGGGAATCCCGAGGGAGCTGGGAAGGGCTGGGGAATCCCGAGGGAGCTGGGAAGGGCTGGAGAATCCCGAGGGAGCTGGGAAGAAGCTTAGCCTGCAGAAAAGGGGGCTCAGGGGGACCTTGTGGCTCTGCACAGCTCCTGCCAGGAGGGGACAGCCGGGGGGTCGGGCTGTGCTCCAGGGAACAGGACACGACCTCCAGCTGTGCCTGGGGAAGTTCGGGTTGGACATCAGGGGGAATTACTTCGTGAAAAGGGCGGTCAGGCTTTGGAATGGGCTGCCCAGGGAAGTGGTGGAGTGCCCACCCATCGTGGCACCCCGTGCTCTGGGCTTGTTGACAGGGTGGGGATTGGTCACAGGTTGGACTCGATAAGGTTGTTTCTAAACTAATTGATACTCTGATTCTGTGAGTCTGTCCCAGCCGTGCCTACGGGCAGGTGGTGCATCCCACCTTTGCTTGGTGACACACTGAGCTTGTCACCTGAGCCCGGGGTGAGGGACACGCTGCTGCTGTGTGCTCCCCGCTGGGGCCCTGCCCCGCCGGAGCCCTGTCCCACCGGAGCCCTGCCCTGGCCGGAGCCCTGCCCCGCCGGAGCCCTGTCCCACCGGAGCCCTGCCCTGGCCGGAGCCCTGCCCTGGCCCTGCCCCGGCCGGAGCCCTGCCCTGGCTGGAGCCCTGCCCCGGCCGCCACTGCCCCTCTCCAGCCTGTGCTGCTGGCAGGTGACAGGGCTGATGTGCAGTTTGAGTCCAAACCATGGCCAGAGCACCACTAGATAGCTGCATTCTCTGCACTGTGCTCTCGACAGCAGGAGGGAGAGGTCTGTGGAAAATGTATGTTGGCACTGAATATTAATTTGCATCAGAACAGGATGATTTTGTCTGAAAGTGAAATAATATATTAAATTGGCTTGTTGTGGTCCAGCAGCCACTGTATGGATGAAACTGTAAGATGCTTTGTCTAGAAAAATGCAGTGATTTTTTTTTTGTGGGATATAAAAATTGGCTGTCACAGGTAGATACAAACAAAATAATAGGTGGTGAGGATTCCCCTAAGAGTGCAGCATTCTAAAGCTACTAGGGCTATAGTGTACTATGTATTTGCATGATATTTGGCATTCTTTAATAGACAAGCTATTTATCTATTTCAGTTCTGATTATTAAGTCTCTCGTTTTTTTTTCTCTTAACAGTGACCATGTTCTTAAGCACTTTGACTCCAAAATTCTACTTTGCCCTTACAGTAACTTCATCTTTTATATCTGGACTGATATTTGTAAGTAGCCCACTTCTTTTTTTTTTTTTTTTGAAACAACTTTAGCACCTCTGGGATGGCTTTATGAGGGGTAAAGGGAGTGAATATCAGACTCTAGAGGGTGCCTTTGTGCTGGGAAGGAACTTCTCTGATGTCTTGTTGCAGCTCTTTTGCTGTGTGTGTTGCATGTTGGGACTGTAGGAGTCTGAGAAGATAACCTGTGCGGGATGCTGGAGTGGTTTACCTCCCCTGCACAGCTCCAGCCTGTCACTGGTCACCTCAGAGAGCAGACAGGGCCTGATCCAGGCTGCTCCAGGGCTGACACTTCGGTGTGGTCCTTGAAGCCTTGTGATATGCAGGTATTTTTAATAGCTTCAAAAAGAGATGGTGATATTTTTGGCCCAGAATTTCTGCTAAGTGACTGTCATTGCTGTTAACTTAGCCTTGTTTCTTTGTTAGCCTCTCTCTTTCTGCTTAGCAGAACATCTCAGTTTAATGGGCCATTTTATCCTTCATTCTTTCAGATTATTTTTGTGACGTGAAAAAGCTACTCTTTTGAATACTACAAATTTGGTACTGCAGGTACTACAGCTTGAAATATCCTCACCAGAAAAGAGGATATAATGGCTTTTTGCCTCTGTTCACAGTTCCCCTATACAGGTGCTTCTGAAAGGGTTTCTGAGTTACCCTGATGACTTTGGGAGGGAGGAATATAACATTTGACTAAAATGTTGCCGTTTTTTTCCAATCTCTTTGATGCTCTGTGAGTGATCCTGCATGGCAAGTCAGGCCAGACTGGATCATGGTGTTACTCTGTTTGGGGAAGAGTTCCCTCCCTGGTCCTTGGCAGGGGATGTCCTCGCCGTGAGCCCTCTTTGTCCCCAGTGTTTGCTGGGAGGGTGCCGCCTAAGGAACCTTCTGGTGCTCTTTTCTGCTGTGACAGGTGTTTGAGTGGTGGCACTTCCGAAAGTACGGCACGTCCTTCATCGAGCAGGTTTCTGTGAGCCATCTGAGGCCCCTCATCGGGGGTGCAGAGAGCAGCCCCCCAGCCCCAGCAGCTTTCTCGGCGGGGGAGAGTGAGACCAGCAGGCAGAACATGCCAGGTGATTCCTGATGTGTCCCAGGAGCTTTCCTTGAGCTTTGAGGGGGCTTGTAGTGGCTTTGGCTCTGCGTTAGTGCTTGTAAAAAATGGACAAAGCCTACATCTTACAAAGTGTTTTGTTAGTAGTGCTAAAAATAAACTAAATCATTATGGTTTTTCAGTCTAAGCCATTCATTGTTAAAGATATGATTTAGAAAATGTTATACATTTAGCTAAAACTGTTTCAGTAGCACTAGTTATTTACTGTTCTAAAGGTAAATATTGCATGAGTGTACATGCATTGCTTATTCTTCCCACCCTGTGCTTTTGTACCCCAGCAATGCTGGGGAGCAAAAATATTTACAGAATAGCAGAAGTTCATGAAGATGATGATTGCCTAATAATAAAATTAAAGCAGCTTTTGAAAACACAACTGCTTTTGCATTACTGCATTTTAATGTCAAGTTAATTTCCCGTGCTTTTAATTTAAAAAATACTTTTATTTTGTTATTCCTCAGAGTGCAAAGTGTGGCGAAATCCTCTCAATCTTTTCAGAGGGGCAGAGTATAGCAGGTATTAATTATCTTGCTTTCCACTGCATATTTTTAAATTTAATCGGGGGCATGCACATCACTTCTTCACAGAGCTTGCACTGGTAATGTCAGGAGACAGCTGGAGACCTGCAAGATTATAGGGGTGATTGATACCAATCCTGTGTTTAAAAGGCACCAAGCCAAGCTTTGGCAGTTTCAGTGTTAAGAACAAAAATATTGCTGTAACATCAGGGCTTTTTGAGAGTAAAGTAGGAAAAAAGCTTTATTCAGAGGTTGAGACAGTAATTCTCAATCTAAATTCTCTTTTATTAAACTATATTGTAAGTCTCCTAGTGTTACTTCATGGGAAAAGCTGCTTTCTAGGAAGCCAGTTCCCCAGTTGTTTAGAACTTTACAGATTATTGAACAGTAGTACTTGAAACTTTGTGTTAGTAGCTTTAGTCTTTTATTACAGATTTTCTGCACTAGGCACATCAGATATTGCCTTGATATGAGCGTTGCTAATTCCTAGGAATGCCTTTTACTGAAATCTGTTGTTTTAGGTACATGTGGGTGACTGGGAAGGAGCCTCTTACTTACTATGACATGAATTTGTCTGCTCAAGATCATCAGACCTTTTTCACCTGTGACACGGATGCCCTCCGGCCCTCAGACACAGGTACTGATGTCTGCCTAAGGTGTGTAAGTGTTGGACAGTGCCAAGTGTGTGCTTTTACTGAACTTGAAAGTAGTGCAAGTTATTGTGTCAAATATTTCATGAAACTAGCCTTTCTCAACTACTAAAGAGGTTTAATAGATGTAGAGGATCTATGGTTTGTGTTGGGAGTTAAAGCCCATCCAGTTCCCCCCTCTGCAAGACATCTTCCACTAGACCAGGCTGCTCCAAGCCTCTTGAATTTTAGTGTTTAGTGACATTTAGTGGAAAGATGTTGTTTCACATTGTGCATTCTCTATGACTTTAGTGCTGTCACAGTCCTGATGTTTTTTAAGATCTCACACATTTCAAATAATTAGCACAATATTGCAAACCTGGATTATATTCTCAACAGCCAAAATGTGGTCTCATTTAAACCTTAGTAATGAATAGTGCAGTCTCCAGATTTTTTTCCTTGTGTTCCACATGTTTAGTGCAGAAAGTGTTCTTTACCTGGTTATTGTCAGCGTGGGTGTGAATTATTGTCAATTTGTCACATTCCGGAGGTGTTCCTTGTCAGCTGGCTGTGACATGTTTGATATGAAAGATGTGTTTTTATTTCACAAAGGGAGTGAATTGTCTCGCTTGCTGAGCCAAGACTAATATTTTGTTTCCGAAAGAAAACTCAAATATTTTTCCACGTTATTCTTGCTGGACAGCAGGAGGTTTTGTTCCAAAAGAAACATGTATAGATTCTTCAGTTTTCTTATCGTCCTTGAGATAGGCCAGATATCGAGCTCCATGAATGTAAGGTTTTGGAGTTCTTTCAGGACTGGTTTTTAGTGTGAAAGTTAATAATCCTGCATAGAAAATGGTAGCTCTAAATGTGTTGTTTTCCTAGAAGATGATTTTCAGTTTGTGTTTCCAGTTTTACCAAATGGAAGCATAGTAGGAGGGGTCTAGAGTCATTGCATTGAAATAATTTTGAATTCAAGTTGTAGTTCAGGGGACACTTCTGAATAGATGTCACCCTTTTTGCTTGTTCCCAAACCAAATAAGCTGATAAATGTATATCCTGAATTGGCTTTGCCTTGTGATGCCACTCAAATGTGCTTTGTAAATTTAAAAATAAATTGCTAACCCTTCGTGATCTAACAGTTGTCTAAAAATAATCATGGAACAGAATCCCAGAGTATTTTGGGTTGGAAGGGTCCTGAAAGCTCATCCAGCTCCACCCCCTGCCATGACTAGGGACACCTTCCACTATCCCAGGGAGCTCCAAGCCCCAGTGTCCAACCTGGCCTTGGACACTTCCAGGGATCCAGGGGCAGCTGCAGCTGCTCTGGCCAGTTTAATATTTAAGTATAAAACTCTACCTGTGCAAGACACCACTTACTCCATCACTGTTTTCTTTGAAGTTCTGTTTGAAAGCTTAAATTAAAGTTCTTTGCAGGTCTGTGCATGAACCTGTGTTTAACAATTGCTCCTGCCAAGCTTTCAACAAGTCTTGGGGAATGTTTCCAAAAATCTGTAGCAATTTAGAAATAGTACATCTGCCTGGTTATGTAAGCTGTGTCTGTGCTCCGTGGAGGAGTTCTGAAATGGTCAGCAAGGAATCTTCCTGGTGGTGTTGCTTTCTTAAACTAAATTTGGGGTGTACTGAGCTGTTGCAAGAATTTGATGCTTGTGGTAGGAACAGGCTGAAATTAAAAACACTTGTTTGTTCTTCCTTATAGCAATGGTGCAGCAAACAGGAATTTTCAGACTGGGAGGGAATGTTACCTAGGGCTGGCTCCCAGGTCTTTCACAGGTGTCCATGTCCCTCACCAGCCTTTCCATGTGTTTCCTACAGTTATGCAGAAAGCCTGGCGAGAGAGGAACCCGCAAGCCCGGATTAAAGCAGCATATCAAGCTCTAGAGTTGAACAATGAGTAAGTTTGTACGATCAGCTGCTGTATTTCTAGTGGGAAGGATTAAGTGGAAGGATACTGAGCACACTATCAGTTTCTTCATCTAATAATTCACTTACAGCAAAGTTCTGAGTGCTTAAGGGGGACTCCTCGCACTGGGAATTGCACATGGGGCTGTAAATTGCCCTGAAATATTGAACTCTTCTACTAAAAACATCTTTTGTGCAGCTTTTTTTTTTCTTAAATCGCTGTGTTAGTGGCAATGACAAATGAGAAATCATATTCAGGTATGGAGTGATCTTAATTGTATATAAGGTCATGTATTTCAGAGATGGTGTCATGGTAGAACTGTATTTGGAACTCAGTGAGGCCACTCCTGTAAAGGAATTGAAAATACTCTGTAGCATAAACCAAAGAATTTCACCACAACTGTGATCCACTTTGCTATGTTGTCTTGTTATTTTTGTGTAAAATGTTTTAAAACCTCCTGATTTTTAAAAAGCAAACCAAACAAAGAAAAACCTTTCCAGACAATTACAGATCATTTTTACAGTTTCAAGGAGAAATAATTTAACTTGCTTTAACAATTTTTTCCTTTGCTTTTGCTCCAGATGGGAGGGGGTGTGTGTGTTTTTTTCTGTAAAATGGAAAAGGTTTATTTTTTCCATCCCTCCCCCTTTGAACTCAAGTCAGTATTTTGGAATTTTAATACTGTCAATGCTTACATCTTAAACATAAGTGAATCTTGCTCATTTCTAACACTTCTATCACTTAATAAAAATACTAAACTTCCTACCTCAAAGTAACTGGTAGGTTTTTCTCTTATTTCAGTTGTGCTACTGCATATGTCCTCCTGGCTGAGGAAGAAGCAACAACTATTGTGGATGCTGAGAAATATTTCAAGCAGGCTCTGAAAGCAGGAGAAATGATTTACAGAAAATCTCAGAACTGCCATTCCCAGAGCCCCCAGCATGAAGCACAGCTGAGTAAGGACTTTGAATCACATGAACTCCTGGGTTTGTGTGAGCAGAAATGTAAAACTAAGGTTATAATTAGGAGAGGTAAGGATTGAAACTGATAGACTAATGCTTTCTGTCTTTGTAATCAGGAAGAGACACCAATGTACTGGTGTATGTGAAAAGGAGACTAGCTATGTGTGCCAGGAAACTTGGAAGAATACGAGAAGCAGTAAAAATGATGAGAGATGTAAGTAAAAGTAAAAAAAAAAACTGAGTTAACAATTGTTTTCAATCACATTGTCCTAATTGATGGTTTTAAGTTCATTTCTAGGCATCATAATTAATCTATTTGAATTATTTTCCCATGAGTTTGCACATGATTGAATGGGGCTTTGTGTAACCTGGTCTAGTAGGAGATGTCCCTACCCTTCAGCTATGGCAGGGAGCTGGAATGAAATGAGCTTTGGTTGCTTCCCACCCAAACCATTCTGTGATTTTCTGAAATGATGCAGTTCTTTTCATGCTGCTTCCATGCCAGTGTCTCACACTCTGAGACAACAGAACATTAAAAAGCCCTAGATTATTGTACTGATTTCTGTTAAGTATTTCAGTCATTCAACTGCAATTCTATATGTAATTTATTTCTCTTTACTGATTTGCAGTTGATGAAAGAGTTTCCACTTCTCAGTATGCTGAATATCCACGAAAACCTCCTAGAGGCCCTTCTGGAGTTACAGGCATATGCAGATGTCCAGGCAGTTTTAGCCAAGTATGATGGTAAGTGATGCCTGTTGGAAAATGTGGGTGTTTTTGAATAAGAATATGAGTGAGGTGGGCAAGGGATGTCTGTCCACAGGCAGGAGTCTAGCCATGACCTCAGCAAGGTGAGAGGCTCCCTTCATCAGCAACAAATAGGTGCCTGCAGAGTGCAGGTCAAGTTCTCCTTTTGACTGCCAAGGTCAAATTTAGGCAAACTAAATTGCATATGAATTACTTCCTGTGTTTTTAAGTTACTGCTAATCTGTGAAGAAATCCTTGCTTCAATTCAAGGATTATTTTAATTAATCTCTTCTACATCCCTGGATGTGCCTAAATTCATCAGCCTTTTTCAGCCAGGGCATAGCCTGTAAGTAATTGATGTAAATAAGCTGGAAAAGGTAGTTTTCCTTTTTGTCACCTTCCAGGCTTGGTGGTGTGCTTCTGTAACACTGAGGTTGCTTGTCAGAGATTAGCAGTGTGCAAACATGCTGCTGCCAGAGATCAGTGGTGTGCATCAAATGGTGTTGTTTGCTTTCACTTTCTGTCTCAATCAGTAGGTTTTGAATATTGTGTAAGTCTAAATAAAGGTTAATAAAGTATGTTCTTATTGCCCTCAGTTTTGCCACCTGGATAGTGCCCAATTCATGAGTGTACAAAAGGCTGCTGTCAAAGCAGGGCCTTAAATCACCTTTGGAATGGAGGGACATAGCAGTATTTTATGACAGTTATTGTCAGAAGTTGTTGATTTCTCTCTTATGTCAGTTCTTTATTGCCTCAGGGAATCAAAGGTATTCTGTTTTTCCCCAAATCCTGTGCCAGCCGAGCACCCTGCTCCCATTCCTTGATCCTCTTCTGGGTGGATTCTTTTTAATTTATGAAAACCATTTGCACTTTGCCCAGTGCTTCTTTCTGTTAACACCAGAAATTGTGACACTTTCTTAAGAAAGCATTGTTGATTTTTTTCTGAGCATCTGGAAAAATGAGTGCAAGCTTCAAACTCCCTGCAGCACCCCTGTGTTTGGCTTGACACAACAGCCAGACTTGCAGTAAGTGATGGACAGGCCCAGGATGGGATTTACAAGAAAAGCAAGAACCATCTGACTATACACAACGTGGTACTTGGGAATTAGACCCCAGACTTTGTCTGCTTTTAAAGTAAACTTGCACTGTGAGTGCTAACCTTCTAATCTGTAATTGTCAGCTCAGACTTGGCTTCAGATGTGCTACAAAGCTACAGCTAACAGAATTTCCCCCATGGAACTGCAGAAGAACGGAAATCCCATTTTGGTTCAAATTCATCTACCTGTCTGTAATGTCATTTTTTGTGGTCAGCTTCTGGTCAGTGTCTCAGCATTGTGCAAAACTGTGTTAATGTACTGTTGCAAAATTAGGTGAAGATCAGAAGCTTACTTTAAATCTTTGTGGGTTAATGCAGGAAATACATTCTGTTCTTAAGTGTATTTGTATGCACATTTCTCTTTGGATTCAGTTTCAGTGTGTTGGTACATTTAGAAACAAAAGGTGACTATCACCTAAATACAACTTTGGGTTTTCAATCTGAGGCTGACTGGTGACTGTCAGAAAAAAGACAATTCCAAGTTTCTAATCACAGCTGAAATGTTCCAGATGTTAAATTCATTGTCTCCCATACCCAAGGAAAAATCTTTAACTCAAAGGATGTGGGTTTAAAATGTTTGTATTGCCTTAGAATCTTACAGCTTAATTATTTTATTTTATCACAGATATCAGTCTTCCCAAATCAGCAGCAATATGTTACACAGCAGCTCTGCTAAAAGCCAGAGCTGTTTCAGAAAGGTAAGCAAGGACATGTGTGAAAACAAGGGTTTGTCGCTATATTTTGGGTTCTGGTGTAAAATATGAAGGATAAAAGGTCTAAATCCTTTGTTTTAAAATTACTTCTAATCTGTAATAAAATCTTTTCTTCAATTAAAGGATTATTTAAATTTTTTAGTCTTTTTTACATCCCTGGTTATGCCTATTTATGTAGCAATTACATTTCTAAGAGCAAGTTGAGTGTATTTATATATATACATATGTTTGTGTGTGTAATAAAATACAATTTAAAACTACTTTTAAGCATCCATAAAGTTAGTACAGGGCAGGATGTTTGGCCCATGTATTGGCCAGGTGCTTTTGTGTAAATGCTGTTTTCAGTGTTTTTCTTGGGATTTGTTTTTTGGATGTTTGTGGTAGGTGATGCTGGCATTTCACCATGGTCTGAGCCCCGCTCCTCCCAGCAGGTGATGCTGTAACAGGGAGCTGAAAGTCAGGGTCAACATGAATTTTCATATGTCACGGGTAGCAGTCAAGATACCTGACTTAACATGAACATTTTTCTCCTAGAGGGGTTTGTTTATCTTTCTTGATAAATCAGCCAATTTTTAAATGAACTCTGAGTTTGCAGTGCAAATAAACACGGGTTAGCATTTATTATTTATTACTTTTGTTCAAGGTGGGTTTTTCCCTTCAGGTTCTCCCCAGAAACTGCCTCCAGGAGAGGACTTAGTACAGCAGAAATTAATGCTGTGGAAGCAATTCACAGAGCTGTGGAATTTAACCCTCATGTTCCAAAGGTAAAAGTGTTTTCTTTTCTATTGGACCACTTGTAATGTATTCTGAAAAATACCATATTATAATATCATTTTGTTATTGGAGCCTTTCTAGCCCCATATTTTCTTGAATTTGGTTATAATTCCCTCTGTGGAGTTGTTAAAGACATTAGTATTTATATCATAAATATTTTGTGGCTAGATTTTTTTTTAAATAATAGCTGATGTTCAGACATGGGTTTTTGCACAAAAATTTAAACTGCAAATTTTCTAACTCACTGGAAAATCCAGTAATGTATTACTGAAGGCCCTTTACTCTCAATAAGGGTGGACATTAATAAATATAAATGTAGATATTTAAAGTCATAAAATAATCACAGAATGGTTTGTGTTGGAAGGGACCTTAAAGATATCTCATTCCAGGACCCTGCGTCCAAGTCCCTAAAGCCAAATTAAGTTCTCCAAACAGTAATCACTCTAGTATTCCAAACCCCTTTATTCTGCTGGGCTTCCAACCATGGCTCCATGGTTATTGAAAGATCTGCAGTCACTTATTTTCTTCATCCACGTGTAAACAAGATTAAGAGTCTGTATCACCACAGGCTGTAATTTCATGTCTGGCATCAAAACACAGATTCCACAGAGCATTGGGTGAAAATCAAGTCCTGCATTGCTTTTTCCTGTCCTAGGGATGCTCTCAGTGTGAACCTTGCAGCAGGAGGCTGGCTCAGGGCAGGGTCTAATCCTCTGGAAATGATGATGGAGCCCCAGTGGCTGCTGCTGGGGAGGCTGGAATGATCCGGCCGCTGCGTTCTGTCTGCCTGTCCAATCCAATAGAATGTGCACTGGGGAAGCTAATTGCTGCTTCTTTGCATGACTGATCAAGAGCGCAGCAAGTTCATTTCAGACAGTCTCAGACAGATTTTTCTTTAGCCTCTGCCTTTAGGGGCAGAAGATTATAATGCATTATCATTATCTAAAAGTTCTTTTGTTTTGGGTATCCTTCAGTTGCTTCTGGAGCCTCATATACCTTTCTAAAGAAGTTAGAGATAATTTCAAACAGGCTGTTGTTAAAATATGGTCTGTAGCTCTGCAGACAAATGCAGAAACTGATTCCAGGTTTCAGCAACTTGATTTTCTCTTCTAATTGTACATCTGTCCATTCTTCATGGATTTTGTGTTACAACATTGCCTCGAGGCACCAATTGATTAGATGACAGAGCAGAATCTTACTGGTGCAGGCTGTTTAGAGTTCTGAAATGTTTATGGTCAAAGCAAACAAGTGAAAAAGGGCAGAGAAGTGAGGCAACTTGCCCAGTGGATCACAGAGGGGGAAGAAAATCTGATCTTTGAATTTCTATTCTGTTCTACCCCATAGACTAAAAATGAGTGTGTAAAGCAGGAAATCCCTCTGTTAGCACATCAGATGGAAGTGATAGTCTTTGTTCGTAGCATTTTGCATAAGGAAAAGGAATTATTTCTCTTTGTTCTGCTTTTACAAGGCTGGTTGTTAGGAAAGTTAGAACCAGCTAGAAGAGTGGTCCTCTTAAGCCATTTCCAATTACAAATCTGTAACTGCATTGTGGTTCTTTATGGAACAAACTTAAACATCTGAATATCTTAGAGATTTTTATTGTGTGTAAAGACCTCAAAACCTTCAGTTCAGTACTGAGACACTTTCAGTACTGACACCTTCCCTGTTTTATGCATAAACATGGATGTGAAAACCTGCCAAGCTGGAATTTTTCTGTTTGTGTGGTAACATGGGTTCAGAGAGGGCCAAAGCCTGGGGCTGAGCATTGGTGTGTTGTGGCAATACTTGCAGTGGAGCTCCACCACCACTGCGGGGTTTATATTCCCAGTTAGCATAATGGAAAAGTGGGCACTGTGGAGAGCATGAGCATTGGGTCAGGGGTCAGATATTTGAGACCATTTTCCCACAGCAGTGCTGTGTGAGTGATCCTTTACTGTGTTAAAAAAAAAAAAAAAATTGAAGAGGATTAGAGAGGATTAGCAAGAATATTACCCTCCAGAGTGCAGGCCCAAGGCACTGAGAGAAGAACCTAGCCAGGCAGCAAATGTGCTTTATTTGGCTGGGGCACAACCCCTCCTACATTCCTTGAAGAGTCTGAATGGGAAAAGTTAAGTCCTCAAACTGGATTAGTAAATAATCTCATGGTTTGTGGCATCTGCTGAAATAAATCGGTGAGTTAGCTGCATTCTTACACTTTGGGGGACACTCCAAGGAATTGCCAGCTACGTTGATCAAAGATGTGGATTAACTTTGGCTGTTATTGAATGAGACACTGTATGGTAGGAGAGGACAGCTCGCAGGTAAATACTAGAGCTGAAGCTGTATTTCAGTCTTATAAAAAGTAGTCATCTGTTTTTAAAAGCTAAGTTCAAATGAATACCTGACTTTTTTAATGTACCATGAGAAAATGTGGTACATGAAAAAAATTGCATGTTCTGTGTTGCAAAGAAATAGGAAATGATTAATCCTTGTGTTCTTTGACCCCTCTGAGCATCAGATTTTCTGCTGATAGAGGGAGAGGGCTGAAATTGAAAAAAAAATCTGAAATCAAAGATACTTTGTGGTAGCCCAGTAAAACCACATTAAAAGATTTTCCTGGGTTTGGTTTATTATTCTTTTTTTGGTTAGCACACTGACACTTTCAGGTTTGCTGCTCATACTTTTAGAGCTAACAAGTCCTCAACCACCTACACTGAAACTTTCAGTGATGAAGTAATGAGCAAAAATACTGTTGGTTTGGGGTTTTTTATCAGCCTAATTTTGTCCCTCATTGGTGTTGCACCTGCAGCGTTATACTTAATGTCTGTTCCACAAGAATGTGTTTTTATTTGTCTTGCTGAAGCTGTATGGTTTTTCTTGACTTTTTTATTTTTTGTGTGAAAGCCTATTTTAAGAGTCATATACACAGGAGTGTGTTTTGCTGCTTTTCATTTCTCACTTGGTGCAGCCTGGCTGCTGTGTGGTAGAAGCTGGCCCTGGCCCCTTCTACGCTCAGTTATTCCTAAAATGATCAATTGTGTGTCCCAATCAAAGGTTTTGGAGCATTCCATGTAACCAGGTGTGCTTTCCATTTTTCCTTTCAGTATTTACTAGAAATGAAAAGCCTGGTGCTGCCTCCAGAGCACATTCTGAAGCGAGGGGACAGTGAGGCAGTAGCATATGCTTTTTTTCACCTCCAGCACTGGAAGAGGATAGAAGGGGCTCTAAATCTGCTGCACTGCACATGGGAAGGCAGTAAGTATCTCCTTTTATTCTTTTCTGTACAGTAGACTATTGCCTGCCTTTACCCCCCTCAAACATGATTGGTTCTCTTTGTGAGAAGCTGGTTGCCTGATTAGATTCAGATCTAATGTCACTCACCCTTCTTGCAGCATTTAGGATGATCCCATACCCATTAGAGAAAGGACATCTTTTCTATCCCTACCCGAGCTGCACAGAAACAGCAGACAGAGAACTGTTGCCAAGTAAGTGGTTTCTAAGCAGTAATGATAATAAAACACAGGCTAAGGACATATTCAGTTTGTGGTATTCTGTATTTACCTTACTGTGATTTTTTTAGTTTGAGCTTCCTGTGAAGGGGATTCAGCTATTTGTTGATGTCCCTCCCAAAAGATCCTGAAGCACTTGACTTGTGTGTGTGGTAAATGTCAGCTTGATGCAGTAATAACCTAAGTCCTTCAGAGATGAAATCTCTGATGTGTGTGGTACATGCAGACTGAGTCTGGCCAGCCTTGAGAACAACAAAGTTGACCGTTTGTTAAAAATTGCTTTTAAAAGAATTCATGGATTTGACTCAATCCACGGTTCCAGTCCTGCACTGGGTATCCAGTAGAACCTGCCTGTGATCTTACAGAGACTCTTTGGTTAACCTGCAGCTTCACAGAACATTTATTGCTTTCTGTCATTAATTCAGTGGTCTGTATTGATCTGCTGGCTGCCTCCTGGAACTTTTTCTACATGTATTTCTATGGATTTATGCTAACACTTGATACTGAAAAGTCTTACCCAGCTGCTCTTTGCTTCAAGGTTGCTTTATGCAGTGATGAGCCTACATGTTTTTTTCTACAAATAGACTCTATCATTACTGCCTGTACTCATGATATTTAGGAAAATAGCATTAATTTAGATTAGAATTGAGCTGTTAATTATACATCTTAATTGAATTCTTTTGGGGTTGAACTTCTATATCTTGAAGAAACACAATTCCCCTGGGACTGGAAAGGGCTACTGCAAAAGCACCAGCAGCCCTACAGAGACCACAGCTGTGGAAAGGAAAACTGCACAGACATGTTTCTATTTAAAAGCCTGAAGTTATATTTAAAATGTGTAATTTAAATTTGCCCCCAGACTGCTTTAAATTACTCATTTCTCACTTATGCAGGATATTGCACAAGGAATTCCTTGGTTAGCAACTAACCCTAAATTGTAGACTTCCCAGCATAATTAAACACCAACACATGCAGATATTTCAACAGGATCACTCACGCATTCCTGTTTTGTTTTAAATATAGAACTACCTATAAATAAAATCATCTTAACACTTTTATTGCAGTACTTCTTCGAGAAATCTTGACACTTAATTTTTTTTTAAGTTATCTATTTAAAATAATGTTGACCAGATCAGTGATTCAGAAAACCTGGATTGGTCTGATGAGTAACGCTTCTCAAATGTCTGTGAACATATAGAATTAGCTTTAGTTGTCTTTTCCTCTCTTGAATTTGGTTTTAATTTCCCAGTGTAGGAAAAGCTACTGCAAAAAGAATTAATTTCTGTTTTTTAAATACTTTCCTAAATTATATTGCTCCATCTTTTAGAAATGAGGTGAGTTTCTATACAGTATGAATCTCTGGGTACCATTAACATCTCTGATGGATGTTAGACATGGATCTCCAAATAGTCGATGTAATTGTGCTCCAAAATCATAGCATTAAAACCAAAACAAACCCTGAGCACTTTGCCATTAATGAATTGCAAGAGCACAAGACACTTTTGCTGGGTTTACTCTTCTAATGGTGCTTTAATGTGCTAGCATACAGAAGCAGTAACTGGGAGGGTGAAGTGTCTTTTTCCTCCACAGGCTTCAGTTTAAGAAAGACTACAATTGTATTTTCTCATTTTACAAAAAAGGCTCATTTATAATTTTGGGTTTTTGTTAGATTTTAAAAACAGCTTGTCAAGAAGGGCAATCCTTTTATAATTACTCATGTCTATAGAAACTCTTTTTTTATTCATTTAAAAATCTTGTGAAATCATTAGGTAGAAATCAGAGCTGGAGGTATCCAGAGCCAGTAAGTAATTGCAAATTCACGCAGCGGGTCCTCGGCGAGTGACCAGTAGTAGTGTTGTGAGTGCTGAAAGCTCCACATGCCACCCTTAGCCTGGCTAATCACCTGCTTTGGATTTTGTTACCAGAGATTGGAAATTGCAAGGAGCTGCTATGTACAGAATTTATAACCTCGTCCTGGCACTGTTTTCTTTGAGGTCTGCTCTGTCAGCTGCTCTGAACAGATTTACTGTAGTCTACAACCAGAAGACTCCAAGAAGTACTATGAAATATGTGTGTATACAGCATGCTGGTTGTTTTGTACTTGCTCAGCTTCTTAGACCTCTAGAGAGTTGAAGACACCTGAACTGTTTTAGTTGGTTTGGGTAATTTTGACAGCTTGTGAACTTCACAGGTGTTCCTTCTGTCCTGTTAGAAAAGGAGGTACCAAAAACTTTGCCTGATTAAATACTTCAAAAATAAAGCCTATGCAAGTGAAAAAGAAAACTGAGAAGATAATATTAATAATGAAAACAAATATGTGAAGACTCTTAATAATGAAAACAAGCATGTGATGTAGGGGAAAAATTAAGAAGTTAAAGTACTGGAACCTAAGATGTGCTGCAGGAGTCTTTCCTTCTGAAAGTCCAGAAATGAGTTAAAAGGCCATAGATAATTCAGAAAGCAGTCCTTGATTATCAAATCTCAACATTGTTCATTGTTTCCTTTCAGCATTTCATGAAGTCTCCGTTTACCCCCAGAAGGAGCTTCCCTTTTTCATCCATTTCACAGCAGGCCTGTGTTCCTTTTCAGCCATGCTGGCCCTCCTTACCCACCAGTTCCCTGAGCTGATGGTCATTTTTGCAAAAGCTGTAAGTACTGTCTCTATCATGGGGCTTGCTAAGGTATCTTGTGAGGCTTTGGGAATTTTGAGGTCCAGGGCAAAGTAGCCTCTAGTCAATCTCATGCTTGTGGAGCATAAATTACTTTCTCAAACTACTCCAAGCAGTAAGTCTGGCCTTTACTGAACTGTGGATCTCATGCAGTAGAGCAGAGTAGCAAATAAAGAGCTCTGAACTCTAAGGGAATCATTTATTCTGGCTTTGCTAGTCAAAATTGAGGGTAAAAGACATTGGCATCCTGGCTGGTTTAATGCACCAGGTAATGGAGACCCAGGAGGAAAGCCCTTCTTTTTTAAGAATACTTTGTTCCTAGAAGTGTTGGCTTTACTAGTGAGCCCAGTCCAGTGTCCAAGTCATGCAGGTCGGAGAGTGGGGCCTCATTTCCACACAGTGGTGTTGATCTTCATGCTGGAAAATGTAGTTGGACATGCCAGTGACAAATTTCAGTGCTGCTCATAATTGGCTGGGTTCATTGTAACTAGGGGCTAACTATTTGTTTGATTAATTCTGTAAGGGCTGCATTAGCAAAGTTGTATGATTTCCAAAGAGATAGAATGTCAGATGTTATGCTAACAAAGAATTGCTTGGTGAAGTTCTCTCTGCTGGGTTTCTTGAACCAACAAAAAGAAAAGACTTTGTATGGTTGAGTTGGCTTTGCAGTTGGGATGTCCAGTGACAGGTCCCAGTGTGGGGAAAAACCTCCCAGGCTTGAGTCGTTTGGCAGTGTGTTTATTGTGTTTATTTTCTTTAGGAAAAGATGGATAGTGTCTGTTCAGCTGAAAAGATAGATGATCAAGAAGAGTGTGCATTGCCACAGCATTCCCCCAACCAAACCAGTGGTGGCAGGCACAGACAAAGGCACTCTTGACACTCTGTGGCAGTTTATTATCAGCAAAAGTTGAAATTGTGTACTGAGATCATCCAGTGAGAAGGGAATTCTGTATTACTGACAGCTGAGAAGGAAATACCAGCTTCCAGTATTCTGCTATTTTAGCTAGTATTAATGTTGACTCTCAATCATACTCTAATGATAAAAATTCTTCCACATTTTACTTATTTGATGATTGTGCTCATGATTCAATTCCTGGTGTTTTCAGAGGGATTCAGAAAACTTGTAAGAAACTATGATACTCAACATCAAAGCAACATTTCTGTTTTTATTGCTCACAAAAAGGGGTGTTGCAACTAGGTGCCTTCCAACCCAAACCATTCTGTGACTCTGTGGTTCAGTTAATAGATTGCTTCAATAGTTTTATTACAGATAATGCTTTGATGGCTGCTAACACTTTATACATACTGTCTTGTCTTCTGGAGGCCTGTAGTAGTAGCATCTACTTGAATTTTCATACCAAAAATAGAAGATTATCTTCTGTTTAATGATACCAGCCTTTTTACTTAAGCATACTGTAATAAAGCAATTATTATTTGTTATACTGAGCATTATATCTTCAAGTAATTCCAGTACTTTAGGCTTTTAAAATTATTTTTTCTTATGTATTTCATTACTTCGAGTATTTTTCATCTTACTGTTCTTTAACTTACTAGATATAGTAATTTGAGATAATGAAGTTCTAGCTGGTATATCTGGAGTGCTTTGGCTGTAGATAAAAGCAATGTGAAATATATTTCCAACTCTTGAATTTCCAAGAAACCTAGAACACGGTTTTAGGAATGGCAATTGGAAAGTATTGTGTATATGGAATTTTTCACTGTAAATCTCCAGGCAGTGACTCCTTAGATTACATTTCAGTTACTTCTTAATCAAACTCTTTTTCCAGCAGTTGAATCCACAGCAAGCTGAATGCCTCAGAAGGGGTTTAAGAAGTTGAATACCTTTCTATGGGCTTGAAAAGTCTGAGTTTACATATTTTCATTTGTTAGTGCTTGAGTTTGTTTCCTCCATAATAAATCACAGGGTAAACCTTGGCAAATTGCTAAAAATATTCCAAGTGGCCAAAAATCACAAGGAAGCGTTTGCTAGTTCCAATGTATACAGCGTGGTGCAGCATCAGCCGCGGCCGCCCCGCGCTCCCAGCCCGGCGCCGCCGGCGTTTCTGGGCTCCTGCACGGTGTCCTGCCCGCCTCGGGGGCTCTGCACACGTGGGATTGGAGCTGGCAGAGCGCTGGGCATTTGCTGGTACAGTCAGAGCCCGTGAAGGTGCCCGGAGGAGCTGCGGCTGCTGAATCCCTGGAGCGTGCAAGGTCAGGTTGGATGGGGCTTGGAGCAACCTGAGGTGGTGGAAAGTGGCCCTGCCCTTGACAAGGTGTTGAAATTGGGTGATGTTTAAGGTCCCTTTCAACCCAAACTATTCTGTGATTCCATGATAACTGTGTGAGGTGGTGCTGGTGAGGACAGTGGAACAGGCAGTGGCAGAGGATCCACAGGTCCACAGGTGGCTGCAGTACCAGCACAGGTGCTCCCTGGGCCTCACTGTTTGTTTCAGATTTCTGATCTCTTGGAGAATCACACTGCTCTTGGTGATCAGACAGCTCTGTTTCTGAAGTAGCTGCTGTTTAGATTCTTCGCAGTGACAGAAGAGAGGAAGGTATGCAAATGACAATAATCTGAACTGTCTGAACAAGCTGAAAAATGCTGCTAGATAAAACAACTTCTGTTGAAATTGCAGACAAAAGGGTCTGTTTTTTCATTCAGTATGAATTTTAATTTTTTTAATAATTACATAGATGGAGGACTGGGTGGACATGTATCATCTTGCAAAAGTGAGGTTGCACAGTTCCTTCTGTAATACAAAGACACCAAGAAGTCTGTGAAGAACAGCAGTGATACAGAGTGATAGCAGACACTGTAAACAGATCTCACAAGTTGCTGAAAACAATGAACATGACCTTCATAGAGTCACAGAATGGTTTGTGTGGGAAGGGACTAAACCCCATCCAGTTCCACCTCCTGCCCATGGGCAGGGACACCTTCCACAATCCCAGGGTGCTCCAAGCCCAGCCTGGCCTTGGGCACTTGGAACCATGGGGCAGCCACAGCTGCTCTGGACAATTCCAAGCAGATCAATCCCATTTTTTACATCAGATCCTTATGTTTCTGGAATAGACCAGTGTAAATTATTATTAAAGTACTGAAAAAATAGTGCAGCAGTGTTCCTGCTGTATCCTACTGAAAACAAGTTTCTTTTTCAGGGAATTGGACAAAATCCTAAGACAGTCCCTGTTCCAAAGTGGTTTTGTATGGATTGCTTGATACTTTCACAACAAAGAAGGAAGTCATGGGATTTAAATTAAAAATTGGCTAATTTTTACGATGGCAAGATTAGGAGAAAACATTTTTCATTCTGGCTGGTCCCTAGCTCCCTGTTGGAGGATTCCTTGCCATTTTGTCTGTGGCAGCCATCTAGGGACAGAAAATAGGGCAAAGCAGAGCTGTGTCTGGCAAGTCCTGCTTTGTGTGACACTCTGCTTTACTTTAAGAACAAATCCCCCTACCACTTTCCCCAAAGCTCATTAAGTGAGACTGAAGAATTAACTTTTTAGCCAGCTGCTGAACTTTTCATATTTATAAACACTTGAGTCTTTTGCTTATCTAAGAGAAAATGTGTATAGTTTGGAGATGTGCACTTCCCTGCCAATGTGTAATGAGTGGTTCTACACTTGGTAGGGAAAAAAAGCCTGAAGTTTCCTGTCAGAGCTGAGTGTCGATGCCAAGGGCAAAGGTTTCTTGCCTTGCTAATCTACATCTTAACTCATGCACTTAATGTGAAGGTGCCACACGCTAACAGGCAGGGAAGAAGCCCACTGCAAGGAAAAGCGCCTGCACTGCTGTGAATGTTATGTTTTAAAAGCCTTTTTAATGTAATATTTGAGGTTATGATAGAAGCCAGGAGGGCCAAAGTAAAACTTTCAAAGTAAATGAGTCCTGTTGTTGCTAACTCATGAAATGAGGGTTTGCACAAGGATAACCTGAGTGCCAGTGGAATATCTGGGGGATGGGTTGAGAAGGTGCAGAGGAGTTTGCATGATTTGTTTTAGCCTAATCTTACTTCTGGAACTGTTTAGATGGCATCTAGAATATGGATCCCGTCTGGAAGCACAGACTGCTCTTGGTGGATGGGCTGTTCTGTTGGGGTCAGTGACCTGTAAATAATCTGTGCCTGCATATTGAAAAAATCAGGTGATCTTTAAGGTCCCTTCCAACCTAAACAGTTCTGTGGTCCTCTGAAAATCCCCTGTCCTCTGCTGCCTAGTCTGTTCAGCCTGAAGGCACAGTGCTGAGCCCTGGAAGAGCTGTGGTGTGGAGGAATGCCACCCTAACCCTCGTGCTTCCCCCCAGGTGCTGCGGGTGCTGTGGCCCGTGAGTGCTCCCAGCGTTCTGGCCTCCGGCTGAATGGACTGCACCAGGGTGAGTGCACGAGGCTGGAGCTGGGGCTTCCAGAGGGCTTTTCTTCTCCTCTGTGTCTTCATTGTCTACAACAAGCCTGTTTCATGGCATCAGCAGGGAAGGGGTTGGAATCCTGTTGCCCTGAGGGCAAGACACAGGGTGGTTTTTGCTCATACTTTGAGTCTGCAGAAGGAGGTTGGTTTGGAAACTGAGCTGATTTATTGTTGTGTTGTGTTTCTTCCAGTGCTTTGGGACTCTTCTTTCACCCTTCATCTTCACTATGGAGCACATTGAGGACCTGCTGCTGTCCAGCCCCTGGCATCAGCTGGCTAGTGTGACTGGCGTGTATTTTCCATGATAGTTTGATTTTGTTCTTACGAGCCTCACTTGGGGGTTGGCTGACCCCCAGTTGTGGGAGCCAAGGAAGAAATCCGGGTCTTCAAATTGATATCCTTGACCATCTTCCATGCTGATGGTGCTTAGCATGTGAATTTTCTTCCTTGGCCTTAACCTGTAATCATCTAAGAAAATAGTTCTTGTTGAGCAATAGTTTATTGCTCTCTAAATCACTTGGACAACTGGAAGCTCATACTTCCTCTGTAAGAAAGGAGAATACACAAACTGAGCAGGTGTTTGGAGTACTGATGCTTCCTTCTCAGCTGCAGATGCGCCAGATACTTGGCTTAGATTTAATTTCATAAGCCTTTTTCAAAATATTTGTTAACAGCAAAGTATGGTTCTGCTTTCTTTATTAAAAGGTTGCTACTTAACACATTGAATTTGTTGACTTCTTAAGTGTCCGTTAAATATAGATTACAGTGTGCAAACAAAGATTTGTTTCTTCTCTATCTTACGAGCTTGCATTACTCAAGGAGATGGTGAACTCCTTTATTTCATGTTACTTCTTTAGATTTAATTGTGCATCTTTTATTCTTTAAGACAAGGCATTTTGAAAGACAGGATGGCTTCTGAAACTGCCCAAAGTGTTGTGTTATCTGCAGGGGACTCTGTTGGGAGACCTGAACCTTCAAGTGTTAGTCCAAAGTAGTTTCACTGTTGTTACGAAGACTTGAAGAGAATGGAGATGTGGAAAATCCTTCAAAGGATTTGCTTCCCATGCAGACGAGTCCCGAGGGTTTGTTTACTGCAGAGGGGAAAAGATGTGGCAGCCACGTGGTTTGAGGTAATTGGTGTGACTTCCATCTCCACTCTCCCCTTAGAGCAAAAGTCTTTTTCCCACACAGGTCTGCTGCTTGGCATCAGGGAAGCAGTCATGCCAGCCCAGGCTTCTTAGAAGGGCAAGTGATAAAAATAGCACAGACTTGTGGATAAATGCTAATTCTGAGCACATGAAAACCCATCATCTTGCTTTTTGCAGATAAGCACATACACTTAGCAGTAAGAACTGGGGGGATTTTACACGTTTGATCTCCACTATCTTTGTGAATGTTTGTGACATTGATGGCTTCTTCCAGAGGTGGTGTATATTAATCCAGTTTCTGAATCCTGGATGGAAGAAGCTTGCTGTAGCCTACTGTATTCTCTGAAACAATCTCTTCATCAGTCAATTACAAATCATTTGAATTGATTTAAAATACCTCCTTACACTGAAGATCAAGAATTAATTATTTTTCTTTTTCCTTATTTTCAAATCCTTCTTTACCTTGTAAACCAAGTTCTGTGAAGCAGAAAGTCACCTCTGTATCTCATGTAAGTGTAGTTTATTTGTAACTTTGAAGGGAAACATACTTGCTTAGGTGGAAATGTCATTGTTTGCTCTCCAGAAACAATGGCATATTTCTGTTGACTGGACTTAAATCCAGGTTAATATTTGAATTAATCAAGGAATCAAAAGGGAAGCCCTACAGAAAGATACTACCAGTGTTTTCAGAGTTACCTAACTACTAGAATGTAATTTTCTCAACTTTCTTTCCAGTTGGTCACTGGGGCTGTTTCTCACCTTGGAATCACTGTGGTGATTAATAGGCCTGTTGTGTTCATGTGATTTCACTTTGTGGTCTGCAGGGGCCCATAAGGTAACCAGCCTAATGCTTTTTAAAGTTGAACCTTTTCCAGCAGTTGTGTGGGGTTATAAATGAAGCTCTGCCTCCCATGTATCATCCCAAGAGCTGCTTTCTCTCACTGTCCTCCCTTGACATAACAGTAACAGAAAGGGGATGGGCTTGTTCTGCGAGGAGAGCTGGCAGCAGGCTGTGTAATGAAAATCTTCCTGTCTCCAGAAGTGCCAGCAATTCTTGAGGAAGGAGTGCTCTCTATAATGTTCCATGTTTTTGGGAAGTGTTCCTTTGCCACTTAGGAGCAGACACTTACACCTGACCCATACCTTAGGAATATCAATTACGTTGTATGTGTGTGTATATACACATCTACATTTCTATGTATATATACATTAAAAATTGCAATTATGACTCCGGACAAGATGAATATTGATGTAACTTCTTTGAAACAAGAACTGTGGTGACTTTACAGCCATTGGGATGACAATAGCTTTTCCACAAGGCTTTATGTGGCAGAGGTGAGGCAGTTCAGACTAATAAATATTTCAGGGTAACAAGGTCTGTTCATTGCAACCCTAGTTCATGTGGGCTATAAATCACATCAGAATTCTGGGGAGTAATCTCTGACAGATATTTACCATGCTGGGAGCCCTTCATTTTTGAAATTTGGAATAGATGCCTGTTAGCAGCTTTTATGCATATATGTATGTGGCAAAAGGACTTTTCATGCCGTCAGGCACCTGGGTCACTGAGGTTATGGAGACAAATTCACATGGAGATGGCCCTGGGGTGCTTCTCCATCCAGATTTGTCGCAGGCCAGTTCCCTTCCTGCATCTCTCCAGCACTGGCTAGGCAAGTTTATTCCCTGCTCCTCATCCTGGAATTGTTGTGAGGGTGCCAAGCCTCATAGATCCATGACTCTGAGCAAGGCAGGGTGTAAAGGTCATAGTTGAGACCATTAATAACAAGGTGCAAACGGCTGGTTTATATGTAATGTGAAGCTTTTTACTTATTTCATTTTTGCACTTTGGGGGCTCTGTTTGCTTATGGAGCACTTGGTGTCTGGTACCTATTTAGCCTGAGAGCAGGCAATTGGGTTCCTTCAGGCCTTCAGAGGAATGCAGAAAATTGTTCTCTGGTGTTGTAATTCTGCTGGGATAACTGGAGCTTATTTGTCTCACTGCTTATTAAATGCATACTTGTCTAGAGGTCTTCTTTTTTTTTCTTTTTTCTTTTTTTCCTGAGAAGCGTTGGGTGAATCCCAAGGACCACAAGTGAGAGGAAGATTCCAGGAGGAGGGGGAGAGGGAAGTGCCTGCACCTCTCCACAAGCTGCATCATCCACCTCCAGTGCCAGCAGAATGAAGAGGTTAAATATGAGAGCAGACTCCCTTAGGGAAAGGAGATGTATGTATGGGGCTAGGCCAGACATAAATTAACGTTGCCCTTCCCCCTGCTCAGAGGGGAGACAGTGAGGGGAGCAGCACCTCCCAGGCACTGATGTTTGGGGTGTGTGGCTGGGAGCAGTGGGGCTGTGCTGAGGTGTCTGGGTGGGCCCAGCTGTGCAGGCCAGGAGCACCTGTGACCTGTGCTGTGCTCTTGGCACAGGGGTTCATGGAGTCACGGGATACCCGCAGCTGAAGGCACCTGCAGAGGTCAGCTCCGGCTCCTGGCCGTGCACAGGACACCCCTGCAATCCCCCTGTGCCTGAGAGTGTTGTCCAAAGGCTCCTGGAGCTCTGGCAGCCAAGGGGCCATGGCCATTCCCTGGTGAGCCTGTTCAGTGCCTGACCACCCTCTGGGGGAAGAACCTTTTCCTGATAGCCTGTCTAAACCTCTTCTCCAGCATTCCTACTCTGCCAGCTTCTGAGCAGTGCCTAGCTTGCCTTATTTTGCTGTTAAAAGGGGCAGACTCCTCTTGTCTGCATTTAATTAGGATGGCTGCAGAGGTGATGTGTGAGCTGTTGTCACCTGCTTTTGGGAAAAATATCTACAGATCAGTCAGGATGACAGCAGCAATCACAGTGGGCTTCTGTGTTCAGTGTCCTGTGCTCTGAATTCACCCATCTTACAGTAAAGGTGGATAAAGAGTAAAGGCAGCTTGAGTTTCCAGCTCTGTCTCCTGGCTGCCTCCTCCCTGTCTGGAGCCTCCTTGGCAGGGTGTGCTCTGCACGCCCCAGCCCTTACTGCAGGGACAGGACTGTGATCAGGGATGCTGCTCATGTGCTTGGAATTTCCCTCATTTCCAGCCTCCACTGCTGTTCTGTGCTCTTTGGTGGGACCTTCAATGAGTCTGGTCATTGGGGAGAGCAGATAACACACCCTTGCTTACGGCATCGCTGAGGGTGCATCCACACGATGAGCCTGTTCCTCCCTTGGGATATTTGGTTTTTTATGGCCAGCAACATTTTCCTTTTGCTCTGGATGCATTGAGTTGTGCAATCACAGTGCAGCCTCATCGGCTGGACCCTTCTCATAACAACCTGTTGATTTCTTTGCTAATTTGGCTGTGGGCTTTCATCAGTTATAAAACAGTGACACAGTGTGTGACTATTGCATTCTCCTGCCTTGACTCACCGGCTGTGATTCCAGAGCAGTGACCCCCCTGCTGCTAGCTGGAGCAGCCCTCCGTGACTCGGCTTCGGGAATTTGGGATGTGAAAGCTTGACAAGCTGTGTGAATGTCAGTCCAAATGCTGTGGGCTGGGTCTCTCATGGCAGGTTTGTAATCCCCCATGGATTACACTGGTCACAGGTACCTGAGCAAAGCCTTCTGTGCCTTTAGGAACCCACTGGAGAACAGAAAAGGCCCATGGGGAGACAGGGGGGTGTCGGGATTGGGATGTGGCTTGGCACTGTGTTCACCTGCATTGCTGAGCTCAAGAATTTACAGATCTTGCTGTTACCTCCATCTCAAAAAATGGTGGTGTCACCTGGGCTAAGGCCTGTTCTCACCCACATGGAGAAAATCAGAATCACAGAATCTCCTGGACTGTGGAAGAGACCCAGAAGGAACATTTGGACGTCAAGTCCAATTCCTGGCCCTGCACATGATTCCATGTTTCCAATGCCTTCTGCCTCCTGTGTGTCCTGTCCAGCTGCTTCAGGGAAGGTGATATATTCACAAGCTCATAAGGAATTAATTCTGCACCTTGTCCTTGAGTGCAGCCATGCTTTTGACTGGAAGATAATTCGAAGATAAACTTGCATAAAAGGCTCCCTCCACGTTTTAGGCAGATTACTTCCGAGAGGTTTGTGAGGAGGACTGAGTGTTCCCTGATGAGACCATAGCCTTCAGAAATGAGAGATGGAGAACAGCTGCTTGCCAAGGATGAGTGTGCTAAGGGGGGCTTCCGTGGGGCTCATCTGCAGTGGGGCACTGACCAGTCTGAGTTTCCTTTAGCCCACAGTGGGACCTTGTCTTGTACAAGCACTGGGAGTTTGTTCTGGCTGACTGGTGTATTTCTGTTCCACTTGTGTGGTTTTCTGCTAATTGCTCGTTAATAAACGAGTGTAGCCTTGCATAGTCCTTTGCAGAAGAAACTGTCACTTCTTCTGTCAGGTGGACTTGAGCTCGGTGGGCTGTCCCATGACTTCTTCTCCAGGTACTTCTGTAGCACTTGCACTTGATTCCAAGTATTTCTACTCCTCTTATTTACTGCTGTGACAGAGGAATGCAGCTGCACAGGTGGACCTGGCAGGACTAGGGAGGTTTCCTGTCTCAGCTGTGGTTACTCTACAGAGCACTGGAGGCATCCAATTTCAGCATCTCAGTGATGAAACAAGAAAGGGGGCAAGCCAATAAACCTAAGACAACCTGGCCTCAGGAGTTTCCCTCTTTGTTTTAAAATATGAACCTCTGCATTCAAGAGGAGGATATATTTAGGCAGCAGCCATTGATTAAGGTGTCATTCATCAAGCTGGCCCACAGATCTCCTACAGACACCCCCCAGGGGTCCTCTGCAAAAGAAGAAGTGTTTGTTGATGGCTGACCCCGGGTCCCCAGGCACTGGGTCCCTCCCAGCCCAGGGAGTGTGTCCTGCTCTGGGAGGGAGGCTTGGATTGATGGCTGAGGGGGCAGCATTTTTTTCAAGTCTGTCGTAAATTGAGAGTAGGTGGAGCGGTAATGAAGATAAATGAGAGGCTCTTCCCGGTTGATTAGCCTATGCTGACGGATGCTGCGCTGGCTCGGGATGCCTCTGGCCTGCCTCAGACCTCCTGCTCACCTGCCAGCATTCCTCAGTACAGCCAGGATGGGAAAATTGTCTCTCCCTGAAATCCAGAGGGTCTTGGAAGGGCCTGGGGGGAGACCAGAAGACTCCTGGGTAAACAGCTCCAATGCAAGAGGAGGGAAGGTGCTGCACAACCCTCTTGTGCTGTCAGGAATTGGTTTAATTCTGTAAGAAACATCTAGGCAGTGGGGTGGTCCTGTAATTCTCTTAAGATCTCCATTAAAATGTCACCTTTTGGCTTGGCTGTGGCTTTGCAGCAGCTCTGCTGAAGGTTCTTTTTCTGCATGAGCACTCTTGGGGGTTTGGCATGGAGGAAGGTGCTTAATCTAGCCCATGGCAGGATCTTTTAATTCTTTGAGCAGTTCCCTCATCAAAACCGGTTTCAAAGTGGATTTCTCTCCCCACTTAAACTATTATTTCCTAGGGCCATTGAGTAAAACCCCTGTTCACAGATGCTCTTGGTGCAGTAGCCCATGGGTGGCTTAGGAGCAGCATAATCTTCTTTGCCTTAATCCCATCCTGTTCCTTTGACCTCCCTTCAGACTTTGCTCTTGCTCAGCCCCTCTTGCCCACACATCTCACTGCTTCCAGGAGAAAACCCCAGCTCCTCAGAGACCTCTGGCAGCAGGAAAGCAGACCCCAGCAAGAAATATTTGCAGATAAATGTCCCTGTTGACTTGGCCTTTCTTATTGTTATAAGTTTGGAACTTCCATGAAAACTTCCCCTATGTGAAACGTCCTTACTTGCCCATCAGCACAATGCTGAGGAGTGTTGGGAAAATAAACCCCATTTTTCTGGCTCAGGGAGGAGGCACAGCCTGCCTGGGGCAATGTGCAGCCTAACTCTGGTGGGGGAACTGCAGGAGCACTCTCAGCCTCAGGAATTGCAATGATTAAGATAATTTTTCTTTTTTACCTGGGTTAGTTGAGTTTCCAGGTTCAACTGTTATACATTGCATTTGTTTGTGTGGATTGGGACCTTTGGACCAGACTCTATAAAATATTTGTACACCAAGTAAAGCATTGTTGCAATGTCTGCTTGCTCAAATTGGTGGAGAAAAGAGGAAATCTGTAGAGATGAGGGGTGGTCCCTGTAACTACCTACCAGCAGGTCTGCAGCTGCCTTCCCCTCCTCTTATCAGCTTCGATTTTAGTTGATTATGTCTTGAGTGTTTGGGGTTTTTTTAATGGGAAAGAGTTGTAAGTTTATTTAGCATCTCCTGTGCTTCAGAGCCATGGAATGGTTTGAGTGGTACAGGACTTTAAAACCTTTCTTGTTCTGTCCTGTGCCATGGGCAGGGACACCTTCCACTTGACCAGGTTGGTCCAAGCCCTGTCCAACCTGGCCTTGAGCAGTTTTGGGGATGGGGCATCCACATGTCCTGGAGTGTGATCCTGCTGAGAAAGGATTCCCCTGGGGCTTTGGATGCTCAGCTCTGTAGGAAGCTTTGGGACAGCAGGAGCTGCAGACAGGGGGGAAGAGAAACGCTCTGGGCTGGTTCCTGCTCTGGGGATGTGCCCAACTGAGGGTGTAGGAATTCAGAAAGCAAAGGACATAATTTTCTGGTACAGGTTTATAATGAATTTTGACTTAAAATAATAAGCAGTATACACAACATACACGTGAGTTGTACAGAGATGCTGTTGTATCGTTGACTTCAGAACCTACCAGTAAGTTCACAGGTCTCATTTGCTCTCTCAAGCCCCGTGTGTCCACCAGCACCTAGAGGTGGCCTTTGTCTCTGTGCAGTCCTTCAGGGTTCAGTTCCACGTTACAGCTCCACTTGTTCCCTGTGCTGGGGACACAGGGACAAGCCTCTTGCTCAGTAGGGTTAGTGATGTGTCAGGTCTGCTCGAGGGAAACACAGCTATCATGGAACTGTCTTACGGATTCACAACACCCTTCCTCTGGCCTTGCAAAAAAGAAACAGCAAGAATGCTTTTGCAAGAGTGGATTATTTTGAACTAGTGTTTTTTGC